AGACACGTAACACACAGAGACACATGCACCTACACGTACACAACCACACTCACACTGAAACACATAGACACACAACACTCATACACCTACACGTACATGTGCATACTCACACTGAAACACACAGACACACAACACACAGAGGCACATGCACCTACATGTATACAATCACACTCATACTGAAACACATAGACACACAACACACACACCTACACATACACAATGACACACTGAAACACACAGACACACAACACACACACCTGCACGTACATGCCCACACTCACATTGAAACACATAGACACATGACACAGACACACACACCTACATGTACACACCCACACTCAAACTGAAACACACAGACACATAACATACACACAGACACATACTTACACATACACACCCACACTCACACTGAAACACACACACAACACACACAGACACACACACCTGCACACACACACCCCAAACTCATGGACCTCAGGGTTCACTCCTTGGAGTGCAGTGGGACACACGTCCTCCACGCCCTCTTGATGGAGGATTTGGCATGACTGCAGCATGAACATTGTGGAAGGGCTCTGTCTCTGCCTCCTGTCTGTGCTTCCAGGATGGCCTCAATTTGTCTGGTGGCACAAAGGCAAAGTGGGAAAAGGTGAGAAGCTGGGCATCAGTTGGGCCTAGTGTGAGGTCTGCTTAGCCTCTGCCCTGAGCTCCCTGAGCGACTGTAAGTGGCATATCAATGCCCTTTTCATTGGGTTACTCTTACATTATAATTAACAGCCTATGGCAGACTGTTCATTTTATTTTTCTCAGTAACAGAAGTGCATTTTTGTTTGAGTATGGGACTGCCTGCAATAAAGATGGCATTTCCCAGCCTTCCTTGTAGTGGGGGTGGTCTCATGACCAAGATCTAAGTGAAATTGTTGTTTGAGACATAGAGGAATTTACTCTGTAAATTGCTGACTCAGTTGCAAAGAGTCATTTTTGCCTTATCTGCCGCTGGGAATGAGGACATGATGGCTGGAACTCCAGCAGCTCTATTGGAGCTCTGAGGATGGGAGAGAAAAAGATGAAAGGATTGTAGTGCCTTGTGCCCTTGTCACTTTGGAATTACAGTGCCAGTCCTATATTGCCATCCCAACTCTTTTATAGTAAAGTTTATTTTCTTGTTTATATAAATAAGAGTATATTTTCAACTCTTGTGTGTTTCAACCACCATAATTTTGGTCTCTAATTCTCATGGCTGGCCACATACTGCTACTAATTGAAACAGAATCTGACTCATAGTAAGTGCTTAGTATGTAGTGGGATTATTGTGCAATTGTCTGGACAGTATTTATGAAATTTTGTTTTTATTGTCTGATTTAGGTTGTTCATGGCATAGACATACTTACTACACGTCTCCTGCAGAGATGTTCTAAGACTAGGGATAGTATATGTAGGCATCCAGCACGTGGTGGGGCAGGATTGTGGGGCTCACAAAGAATCCCTCCTATCAATGTCTGTGGGGGTCTGACTGGATCCCCTCCCATGTGCGCTTTGCAGCTGTGCAGAACTGGCAATGTTCATCTCCGACCTCAGTGGGCAGCCCGTGGGCCTTCACTTCTATCAGCGCAAACATGCCTTGCCAGCTCCCTCAGGCCCCAGGTAGCAAGGCAAGAGGGCAGCACCAAAGAAGCCGGGCCAGGAGGCGCAGGTGGTCGATCGGCCGCAGGGCTGCACTGGCAGAATTTCCTCTTGGTTGATCTCGCCAGTGGCCCGTGGGTTCTCTTCCTGTCGCCCACTCGCCCTCCTGGCCCTGCATGGGGAGGTAAGCAGTGTGAAGAACACCGTGTCCTCCAGCCCTCTTGATCTTGTCTTTTCTCCCCTCTGCTTTTTCTTCTTGTTATTCCCTCCCCACTCCCCTGCAGGCCGGAATACAAGCCCTTCTCCAAGCCCAAACCTTGACCTCTTCCTCTGTATTCATAATTCTTAACCTCAGCAGATGTAAAAATCCCCTTTGAGAAGCTGATGGAAGCTGTGGCCCACTCCCCCGAAAACAGCGAATGTGCCCCTTATGGGGAACAGGCTTCACTTGGAAATGTCATCATGTGTGGCTTTGTCCTCACTTCCTAGTGTTCCTTTGCATGGACTCAGCCATGCTTTTTGTCCCCTGTGACTTTTCAAGTGACTCCCAAACAATATACACAGTCTCAATCCAGTTATTGAAATGCTAGTTTTTGGAGATGGTCAAAACTTTGAACATGATTTAAAGTTGCGCTTCTCCCTCCTGGAGACTTGCATTTGGGGAGGAGTGCTTGCTTCTTTCTCTTTTTCCCTATGCACCACATCTCCTCTACCTCTTCCATCTCACCATGGTTTTCAGGGCCCCTCTGTGTCAGAACAAGCAGAGGAGGAAGATGTAGAGGACTGGAAAATTCCTACTTGACTGCAGCTGCTGTGCTCGCCAGCCTTGGCAGAATTTTAAAACTGGCTGTTCTGGGGTCCCTTCCTGCCTCTGCCCAGCCTCCATTGCTAGCAGCCCCTCCCCTGCAGCTACCCTGGCAGCTGTGCTCATTTCCTGTGGCTGCTGTAACCAGTTACTAACAACAGTGGTTTAAAGCAGCACCCTTTGATTATCTTGCAATTCTGGAGGTTACCAGCGATTCAATCAAGGTATTGGCTGGGTCGCACTCCCTCTGGAGGCCCTAGGGGAGAATCTGTTTTTTCTGCTTGGCTTATGGCCCCTTCCTCCATCATCAAAGCCAGCACAGAGTCTCTTCAGTTCTCTCTGACCTCTACTTATCCCAGCATGTCTCCTTCTCTGACTCTCTATCTCCCTCTTCTAAGGACCCTTGTGATTAATTACATAGGGCCTCTTCAGATAATCTCACATCTTAAGATCCTTAACTTAATCACGTCTGCAAAGTCACTTTTGCCCACAAAGTAACAAGTTCACAGGTTCTGGGGTTAGGATGTGGACATCTCGGGTGGGGTGTTATTCTACCTGTCATGGCAGCACAGAGGCTCTCTGTTCTGGCTGCCGGTTGCTCTTGCCTCGGCCAAGACTGCTCTGGTTCTTTTGGCTGAGGTATGTGGAGCCCTGTTGACATCCTGACCACCTCAGTTCCTTCTCTGCTCTGGACCATCTCAACCTAGCTGCTTCTTGGCTGCCTGGCCAGAAAAGCAGGAAGTCAGTCACCACTAGCTTGGGCGAGGGTCAGGTAGATCACCTCCCTCAGTACTTCCTCTGTTCCCGACTCCTGGACATTTCATTTTCTCAACATGGGTGAGCAATTCAGGTGGCTTCTCTATCCACTATGAAAAATTTTACGTTCTTCTCTGGCACCTGATTTTGAAACTTGTCCTAATAAAAAATTCCATTTAACATTCAGTAACATTTACATAAAATGTTGCATATGACTTTAGGGAGGTTACAGGCCCTGAATCCAATCCCTTGGCATGGGATTATATATGTGTGTGTGTGTGTGTGTGTGTGTGTGTGTGTGTGTGTGTGTATATATATATATGATTCTTTTTAGAGGCTAGTCAAGTGAAGCAGTGGGAGTAGAGAAGGAACAAAGGAATCTGTAAATGACTGTGATCAATAAGTTGTAAATACCATTGTACTTGCACCAGCCTTGATGCTATTTTAGGAACCCCTTTTCTACAATCTCAGTTACTAACAATTTGGCCACATTTAATGCTCCTATAGATGTGACTCCCATGTAGTTAACTTCATTTCAAGTTCCCTTTTTGAAGTGTGATTCTATATTGCTGCCTGTTTGCTGCAAATTCCTTTGAAAGTCCCACTGTAAACTGAATCTCCTCCAGCCAAAGAAGGGCTCATTGTCCTCACGCCCTTCCACCGCCTCTCTGGGGTACCCCATTTTGTCTCTTTGGAGCCCCAGAGTCAGCCACCAAGTCCCACATGTTCTCCAGTCATGTCTCAGTTCCACACCCCATCCGCTGTGGCTTCTTCTCGGTAACACGGATCCATGGGTCCATCGATTAATTGCTAGGAGACATCCATCCACAGATGCAATATTGTAGCATGTTTATCTTCCAAAAAAATCTTTCTGACTTTCCACATCCTACCAGGAGTTGGTTAAGATGCTAAAATTAAAAATAGAATGGACTGTCATTTCCAGCTGTCAGAAAGACTTCCCCTCAACCTGATATAGAATACTCAGACTGCAGTTTGCATATATTTGCCCGAAGTTCCTGCAGCCACAGGCATGGAGTTGCTCTGCTGGAAGATGTTATCTGGCCATCAAACTGTCATCTCACACAGATGAGCATGCTGACGAACTCGCTGGTTTCTAAAATTTTCCATGCACTCTTCAACTCCAGTGGCTTTGTAAGTTTTCAGGTTGCAGTCAATGAATGTTCCTGCTCTGCTAAAGCTTCTTCTTCACTGTTCCCCCATAGCTCAGGTGGATGTGTCTCCTTGCATGCTGATTCTCGCTTGCTATTGTTACCTCAGCTTTCATGTTTCATGAAAACTGTTCTCCCGGCCAAGTTGAATGAATGCAGCTCCTTGGACTCAGAGAGGATTGAGTGGGCAATTAATCAGGAGGGTGCTGGTCTCCAGGAGAACCAGCAAATATCACTGAATTATGGTGAGGATGAGAAAGGCACATTTATCAGTACTGTCCCCAGGAAGGAAGGCCCCTGGACCATTGGAGGTGGTCCCAGTTTCCTTTGAGACTTTGGTTAAGATGAGTTTTGTTTTGTGGGTCTGGGGTCAGCCAGAGGAGTTGGAATTGCTGGGCCTCAGAGGAGAGGCCGAGCTCTTACCAGAGATTCCTCTTCCTCACCTTCCTTAGACCCACGTGGCCTCTTCTCTCCATCAAAGTGGGGTCAACATTTAAGAGATGTAGGTTTTTAGGAGTCCAAGATCATGAGCTTCCTGGGGCAGCCGAATTCCTTCCTACAAAGTCTCCAGCATACGTGCTGTAGCTCAATCTTCATAGAGGATTCCCCTCTGCTGAGCACTGTTGCCCTTTTCTTCCTTTTATTAACAGCTGCTCATATTCCTGGACTCTGCTGAAGAAGCAATCTCCTCCAAGAAGCGCCTTCTGATTGCCTGCCCCACCCTCTGCCCAGGCTAACATGGATGCCACTGCTCTCTGGCCACACTTCTATCAAAACATGCAAGCTGTTCTCTTTCCATTGCTCTTTGGCTCTGCCCTCTGGAGCCTCACTTTGAATCCCTCGGGACAACAAAGTCAGACTGGCTGGACTCACATCTGGCTCCACCATTGACCAGCTGGGTGGCTGTGGGCAAGTTACTTATATTCAGTGTGCCTCAGTCTTCTCACCTGCAAAATGGGTATAAAATAGTTCCCATTCATGCTAATGAAATGAGATAATCCAGGCAAAGAGCTTATAATGGTTTTCAAAAAGGGTTCAATTATTATTGTTGTTGTTGTTATCATTGTTATTTTCTGTATTTCTGACAAGTAGTGCAGTTCTTGATGTTGAATGAACCGCTGACAATGTTCACACACACACAAATACACACACACACACACGCACTTGCCCAAGTGTTAAACTTTGGTTCTCTCCTCTGACTCATTCTTTGTGCCCAGTCCATCATAAGGTCCCATTGGGTCGTTCTTCAGAACACCTGTCAAAAACCACTGGCATGGTGCAGGATTTAGTTTTATTCACAACTGTATCTTCAGGACCTAACACAAAATCATTGCTGAAAAACATGTTGGATGAGTGAAAACATGAACACATGGATGATTGAATGAATAAAATCCTTTTCCCCGTACACTGCATTTCCACAGCTGCCTTCCAGCCCAGTCTTCACTGACTCCATCCAGACTCATGTAATATCCTGACCATTCCTGCGCTATCCACTCTGGTCTCTCCCTGCACAACGCAGCTAGTTTTACACCACTGCTGTGAGGTCTTCAGCTGGTTCCCAGTGGACTAGCAAATAAGGAACAAACTCACAAGACAACTAGTGTTTATAGCATCACTTCTGTTTATACTTCCCCAGTTTGCACTTCTGCCAACATTAGATGAGAATGTCTTTTCCACAAACCCTGCTGGCCTCCCCAAGTCCCTTATAAACACCATAAACACCTAGAATGCATTTATACCATTCTGGGAACAAATATAATAGGATCCTGTTTCACAGTTCAGAAGGCAAATGGTGGTTGCTTAACAGCTGAGCTTCCCCAAATGCCCTCACCAACAGGAAGTTCGGCTCCTTCTCCCCATTTAGCCAGGGTTCCCTTGTAGCCTCAGTAGGATCCAGAGGGTCATGGGGAGGCTGTCCTGGCTGCCAGAGGAACATTCAGAAGTGTCCCTTGTACTTGTTGATCCCATCTGGAATTTGTGTTGGTGGAAGGAATGCCCTGGGGATTGAACTATGTATTTATTTATCTATTTATTTTGCAGATGGCTATCTAGTTTTACCTGCCCCATTTGTTGAAGAGTCATCTTTCACTTTTTAATTCATAAATTTTGTAATCATGGGGCTGTCAATCGAGGAAAATGGCGCGACAAGTCTCAATCATTTTTGGAGATTTATTTGCCAAAGTTAAGGATGCACCTGGGAGACAGGTGCCTTTCTCTGAAGATGATTTTGAGGGCTCGAAATTTAAAGGGGAAAGAGTGGGATATTGAGAAGCCCACAGTTTTCACATAAACAAAAGGCACATAAAAAATGTCAGGAATCCACATTTTACTTAAGATAACACAGACAAAATGGGGTAGGGGAACAGTCAGATACACCCTGTGAAAGGAAATTAAATTTTGGGACCCCAGACTCATTTAGCCAAAGGGAAAAGTCAAGCTGGGAACTGGGTCATGCAAACCTGCCTCCACCTTTTTGTTCCCAAATAAGATGAATACAAGATGAAAAGCTACCCGCCTCCCCTGTATTCTTCCCACAAGGAAATTCCTGGTGAGATATTAAAACTTCACAAATTTCATTGCGATCTTATTTTTAGAAATTGCCACAGCCACCCCAACCTTCAGCAACCACCAGTCTGATCAGTCAGCAGCCATCAACATCAAGGCAAAACCCCCCACCAGCAGAAAACTTATGACTCACTGAAGGCACAGATTGTTAGGATTTTTAGCAATAAATCATTTTTAATTAAGGTATGTTGTTTTTCATACGTGATTCTATTACACACTGAATAGGCTACGATATAGTATAAACACAACTTTCTATTACACACTGAATAGGCTACGATATAGTATAAACACAACTTTTATATGCACTGGGAAACCCAAAAAAATGATGTGACTTACTTTATTGCAATATTCACTTTATTGCAGTGGTCTAAAATGAAATACCCAATGTCTCTGAGATATGTCTATGTAAGAAATTGCAAAACATATCTATAGTGATTACACCATTTTGCATTCTGACTGGCAGTGAATCAGAGAACCAGTTTATCCACATTCTCACCAGCATTTGTTGTTATCACTAGTTTTTATTTTAGCTGTGTGGTATCTCATCATGGTTTTAATCAGTATTTGTCCAAGGACTAATGACCTGGAGCCTATTCGCTAAGAACTAGTGATCTTTTCATATGTTTATTTACTATGTGTTTATCTTTGGTAAAGTATTCATGTCTTTTGTCCATTTATTAATTGGTGTGTCTTTTTTTTACTATTGAGTTTTTGAGTTTATTTATTTTTTCTGGTTACAATTTTTTATATATGTGATTTGAAAATATCGTTTTTCAGTCTGTAGCTTGTCTTATCATTTAACAGTGTCTTTGTTAGAGCAAAACTTTAAATTTTCATGAAGCTCAATTTATCTTCTTTCTTCCAGGCGTATATGCACAGGTTTGTTTTGTAGGTCAACTTGTGTCATGAGGTTTTTTTGTAAAGATTATTTCATTGCCCAGGTATTAAGTCTAGTACCCTTTAGTTAGTTTTGCCTAATCCTCTTTTTCCTCCTACCCTCCACCTTCCAATAGGCCCCAGTGTGGTTTGTTTCCCTCTATGTGTCCGTGTATTCTCATCATTTAGCTCCCACTTATAAGTGAGAACATGTGGTATTTGGTTTTCTGTTTCTGCATTAGTTTGCTAAGAATAATGGCCTCCAGCTTCATCCATGTTCCTGCAAAGGATATGATCTTATTCTTTTTTATGGCTGCCTAGTGTTCCATGGTGTATGTGTGCTACATTTTCTTTATTTAGTCTATCATTGACAGACATTTAGGTTGATTCCATGTCTTTGCTATTGTGAATAGTGTTGCAATGAACATATGCATGCATGTGTCTTTGTAATAGAACAATCTGTATTTCTTTGGGTACATACCCAGTAATGGGATTGCTAGGTCAGATGGTACTTTTGTCTTTGGGACTTTGAGGAATCACCACACTGTTTTCTACAATGGTTGAACTAATTTATATTTCCACTAACAGTATATAAGCGTTCTTTTTTTTCTCCATAACCTTGCCAGCATCTGTTATTTAAAAAATTTTTAATAATAGCCTTTCTGATTGGTGTGAGATGATATCTCATTGTGGTTTTAATTTGCATTTCTCTAATGATAAGTGATGTTGACCTTTTTCCAAATGCTTGTTGGTTGCATGTATGTCTCCTTTTGAAAAGTGTCTGTTCATGTCTTTTGCCCACTTTTTAACGGGGTTGTTGGTTTTTTGCTTGTAAATTTGTTTAAATTCCTTATAGATGCTGGATATTAGACCTTCATTAGATGCATGGCTTGCAAAAACTTTCTCCATTCTGTAGGTTGTCTGCTCACTCTGTTGATAGTTTCTTTTGGTGTGCTGAAGCTCTTTACTTTAATTAGATCCCATCTGTCAATTTCTGCTTTTGTTGCAATTGCTTTTGGTGTCTTTATCATGAAATCTTTGCCCATGCCTATGTCCTAAATGGTGTTGCCTAGGTTGTCTTCCGGGTTTTTATAGTTTTGAGTTTTACATTTAAGTATTTAATTCATCTTGAGTTAATTTTTGTATATAATGTAAGAAAGGGGTCCAGTTTCAATCTTCTGCATATGGCTAGCCAGTTATCCCAGCATCATTTATTGAATAGAAAATCCTTTCCCCATTGCTTGTTTTTGTCAGGTTTTTCAAAAGTCAGATAGTTGTAGGCATTATTTCTGGCTTCTCTATTCTGTTCCATTGGTATGCGTGTATGTTTTTGTACCATGCTGTTTTGGTTACAGTAGCCCTGTAGTATAGTTTGAAGTCAGGTAGCATGATACCTCTAGCTTCGTTCTTTTTGCTTAGGATTGCCGTGGCTATTTAGGCTCTTCCTTTGGTTCTATACGAATATCAAAATAGTTTTTTTTTTTTTCAGTTCTGTGAAGAATGTCAGTGGTAGTTTAATAGGAATAGCATTGAATCTATAAATTGCTTTTTAACAATATTTATTTTAACAATATTGATACTTCCTATCCATGAGCATGGAATGTTTTTCCATTTGTTTGTGTCATCTCTGATTTCTTTGAGCAGTGTCTTGTAGTTCTCTTTGTAAAGATCTTTTACTTCCCTAGTTATCTGTATTCCTAGGTATTTTATTCTTTTTGTGGCAATTGTGAATGGGAGTACATTCCTGATTTGACTCTTGGTTTGACTGTTGTTGATGTATAGAAATGTTACTAATTTTTGCACATTGATTTTGTATCCTGAGACATCATTTTTATGACTCCCTAACATAAAATGAGAGATATATAATCTTTTTAAAAAGGATCATGCTTTTGGTGTCATGTCTAAAAATTCTAACTTCATGCCATGAATATTTTGCTCTAAAACTATTATAGTTTTATATTTTTATCTATGATTCAATTTTGAGTTAATTCTTGTATAATGTACATATGATGAAATTTAGTTTTAGATTAATTTCTATCGCATATAGAAACTCAATGGTTCCAACACCATTTATTGAAAAGATTGTTCTTTATACATTGAATTGCCTCTACACCAATGCCAAAGGTGAGTTGGCTACCAGTTGGTCTATTTTTGGCTATTCTGTTCTATTCTATGTTTTGACTGTTCTATTCTGTTCTTACATATGTGTCCATCACCTTATAAATACCACCATCCTCTAGTTCTATAGGATTTGAGGTAGACTATTGGGATTTTCATAACATGACACATATAATCATACATATTTCTGTATGCAAATAGGGAGATATATGCGTACAGTTGGGTGATATTTTTATTCATTTTATTCATTTGACAATCTCTATCTTCTACTTTAGATCACTTATATTTAATGTAATGATTGATATGCTTGGATTTTAGGTCTACTATAGAGAGGCCCATGCAGTTCCTCAGCATATGAACCGTAGGAACAGCTTTAGCTAGCATATCCGTCTTCTCTAGCATCCATGTTCCCTTCTAGCAAGGTTCCCTAAGACACTC